CAGGGGTGGCATGGTGACAGTGGCTAACAGGGATTGTGCCCTGGACAGACACAAATGAGCTTCAGGGAACTTTTGCAGAGGAAAATGTAAATTTTGGAAATGCAGGAGTTTCCCTTTTGCCCGGGAGCAACACCAGCAGCTATCAGTGATGGGGCACAGCCCCTGCCAGGGGGTTTATTCCGTCTAGCGGGAAGAAGGTCTCCAGGGGCTGAATCCTGAGGGATTTCAGGGTGTCACATCAGCCCCATGTCCCCCCAGGGCTGGCTGGGGACCCTCAGCTGCTGCCAAGGATGGCTGGACCTGCCTCCGGTCCCTGCAGTTCCTCTCGCCACCGAAGCCATTAAAACTCTAACAAATGTGCTAAATTAAATAGTGCTTTTGCACATACTAAACCAGGCTCTGCACAGCCAGAGCCCCACAATGGATGTGCCTGGGCTGCAGCCTTGGAGGCTTTGGGGGCTGTGAGGAGGATGTCCACCCCCACTTTGGGGCCGAGTACCCCCAGTTTGGGGCTCAGCATCCCCTCCTACCCCATTCACGGCTCAGAGAGGGGTGCAGAGCCCTGAACTGGTGCCCCAGGAGAGTCCTTGAGGCGTTCCCCCAGATCCAGGGGCTCTGCTCCCCAGTGCAGAGTGCTGGGGGCTTTTGGCAGGTGGGAAGCAGAGTGCTTTGCTGTGGGTTTTGGGGTGCCAGGGTGTTCGCCCACCCCAAGGCAGCCGTTCCCGGCCGATCCCTGCAGGGCCCAGGGCTCTGTCCATCCCCGGAGCCAGTGCAGCCCCCGGGGTGCCCAGCGGAGCCGTGAGAGCTCCCCATTAATAATTCACAGTTTCTAAGTGTTGTCAGTCGGTCGGGGGGTTGCAATTACCACCGGGCCCGGGGCTGGAGGCATCACCTCGCTCGGCTGAGCCCCGGAGCCCCGGAGTCACCCCGGCTCACGGAGCGGGGCCGGGAGCACAGGAGCCCTCCTCTGCGGGGACCTGGGCTTAATTAATCTTCTGTCGAGCAGAGAAGTGGGAACGGTCCCGGAGGAAGCCGGGGAGATGATTGTGCTGGAGTGAGACAAAAGAGAACAGTTAGACTGTGACAGCTGATATTAAAATGACTACAACTCACTTCACCCCCTAGTCAATGCATTATATTCCTTATAAATAACGGGATACTCCAGGTTAACTGTCTGTTGCTGCATTCCAATTGTTGATATTTAATTAGCTCTAAAATTAAAGTGCTCTTTTATTGCCCTGTCATTAGAACTGCCTTATTTCTAATTGATTGATATTAAAGTGCCTCCTCGCCATCCTGGCTCCTGGGGGCGTGGGGCCGGGGTGGGTTTGGTGACAACGTGTGACACCAGGAGCTGTGACAGGAGCAGAGCCCTGGGAGGTATCCACAGGGCATGGGGCTCGGCGCTGGTCCTGGTCCCCAGGAAGGGTGTGGGGATGCTGTTTCCCCAGTCCCTTCCCAACTACACCTGCAGGGGTCTGGAGACATTCCCAGTGTTGGATCCTGCCTCTGTAGATCCCAGTCCTGGCAGGGGTCACCCCACATCCCCACAGGGGAAAGCATCCCTTTCCCCTGGCTGTTGGTATAAATGCATCCTGAGGGCAGGCAGCAGGCTCAGGGTCCTCCACACCCCACTTTCATTTCCTTCACTGAAAATCACCCCAGAAACTTAATCCTGGAGTGATCCAAGGAGGAATGAGGCATCAGAGCTGGAGCCTGTGCTGCTGGGCACAGCAGAGCCCACGTGCCAGAGCAGGAGCTGCTTCCTACATCTTGACAATGGGAGGAATTATGACCCCTCTGATTATCCTGGGATGAAATTTCAGAGCCCAAGGTGGGCACCAGGCGCTGTTACAAAAACCCACCAGCTTGCTCTGAGCTTAAACAGCTCTTTAAAACCCTGATGAATAATTTAACTGGAGCAATTTAAAGCAGGGATGTGGGAAACCCTCATCCCCACACTGCGGGGGGATGTTTGCTGCTCCCCAGCATCCCAAGTCTCCCTCTGGAGCAGGGACCTGCCTGTTGCTCCAGCACATCCATCGTGGCAGTGGGAGGTGAGGATTTTGGCAGGGCCATGCTCCAAACTGAAGGAAAAACCAGCGGAATATGGACTGCGGGTGCCGCCGGTCCCGCTCCCGCCTCATCCCGGCACAGGGACGGCGGGATGCGGAATTTCGCGGTGCCTCTTTCATGTCAGAGCATCACCAAAGCGCTGGGGAGAGTTAATAATAGAATAGCAGTGGATTAAACAATGAATAATGGAGGAGGGTAATAGAAAGAATAAATAATATATTTACAGACTTGCAGTCCCGCTCCCCGGGATGGGGCTGCCAGGTCCCCGTGGCACAGCCGGTGGCACGTTGTGGCTCGGTGCATTTTGGGAAGGCCAAACTTTGCCAGAGGGTGCCAGTCCTCACGCTGGACGGCACGGGGATATAATTAGGCAGCACCTCCCAAAGTGATGCTCCTGAACGGGGCTTGCAGACAGAAATCCTCTTGCTGAGCTGTCTTTTCATGCTCCCTGGCTCCTGAAGAACTCGATCTTGCTTGACTGTAATCCCCAAATGCTTTAACAGGGGTTTGTTTTCAAAGCAATACGAGGAATGACAAGGATGGCTGCTCCTCGCCCTGGGTGGCTGGCACGGGCTCGGTGCAGGGGAGCAGCAGGGTGGCACCAGGGTCCCCTTGCCCACCCTGTGCCCGGCAGCGGGCTGGTGGCAGCGTGGGGCAGGTGGGAGGGTGGTGATAACCGGGACCCCTCCCCGGCACGCTCCGCTCGCTCCCCATCTGCTCCCGGCACCGGCCACCAGCTGCCGTGGGCCAGGCTGGGGCTGGGCCAGTGTGTGGCCTCAGCCCTGGTGTGGGGGCACCAAACGAGCATCCCGGGCTGTGCCGGGGGGGTGGCACTCCTGGGGTTCCCCCCGAGCGTCCCGGGGTGTGGGGTCACGGTCCCCGCGCAGGTGGCAGGCGGCAGAGGGGACAGGGGTGATGGATGGCGCTCGGCCGGTGGCAGCGCCGGTGACACCGACGGCTCCGGCTGATTTATCGCTCACTGCGGTGGGTCTGGAGGTTGGGAGGCTGGATGGGAGCCAGAGGGAGGGAGAGATTTCCCGGGTGTGAGTGTTCGGGAGCGGGAACCACACGCGCGCTTCACTGGGCACCCCAAAATATCTGGGTGTGTCTCAGGGAGGGGTTCCTGGAGCCCAGGGCTGAAACCGTTCTGAGTCCTTGGGGTCTGGCAAAGGGCTTTGTACCCCCCAAGCATCACCCTGGTCCCCCTGGGGTGGGCTCAGCCCACCCTGAGCAGACCCCTGTCCGTGCTTCCCCACGTGTCCTTCCCTTGCACGGCACCAGGGCTGCTCTGTGTCATTAATTCACCTGTCACAGAGCGACTTGGAGGCGAGATAATATTGATGTAGCCATTAGAGCGCGGGGAGAACAAGGAGCAGTGCCCGTGACACCCGGGCCGGGATCATCCCCGCCTCTCCTCTGGGTGCCACAGGCACGTGCTCCCCTCTGTCACCCCCCGGGACCAGTGTCCCCATCTTCCACCCCCACCTCGCCTCTTACACTGGGTCCTGGTACCCGGGAGAGCAGGGAAAAACACTGGGAGCCCTTAAAATAACACCCAACTGTTTAAGGATGTGAGATCCGTACTAAATCTCAGGGAAAAGGAGCAATTATCCTGTCAGAGAAGGTGATATAATTTTGGAGAGCTGGTTCCGCAGCTGTAATTTTTTCCCAACTGTTTCTCCCCCGGAGGGATTTAGTGGCCAATTATCCGTCAGGGAGCGGGAAGGTGCTCGCTGCCAGCTCCGGGTGCCATGTGTTGTTTGCCATGTGCCATGTGCCGTCCCCCCGTGTGTGCCATGTCCCATGTGCCATGTCCCAAGTGTTGTTTGCCATATGCCGTGTCCCACGTCCTGTGTGCCATGTGCTGTCCTGGAGAGGCAGCCCGGTGCCAGGATGCAGGGTGATGGCACTGGTGTGGGGGCTGGCACTGGTGTGGGTAATGGTGTGGATACTGGTTCTGGTGTGGGTGCTGGCACTGGTTTGGGTGCTGGTACCGGTGTGAATGTTGGCACTGGCACTGCTGCTGGCTCTGGTTGGGTGCTGGCACTGGTCTGGGTGCTGGCACTGGTCCTGGCTCTGGTTTGAGCACTGGTGCAGGCGCTGGCACCGGCACTGGCGAGCGCTGCCAAGGGCCGGGATGAGCAGAGTGAACCCTCCCACCCGTGGGGCTGCTGGGGAACATAATTAAGTGCGAACTTGTCATTTTTTAAATGAAGTGCCGGAGTTGGAGTTTATAATTGCTAATGAGTGCGAATAATAATTAGCTGGGCTTTAATGAGGGCGATGATCACTGGGAGGGAGAGCGGGAGCGGCCCCGCTTTGGCCTCATTTCCCTGCCGTGGTTCTGTGGTGTGTCCAGCTCAGCCACCCCGCCCCCAGCGGTGCCATTGGCCCTGTCACCTCTGGGCCATCCCTTGGAGTAGGGCTATGATGCCACGATGCCCAGCTGAGGGTCAGAATTCCTGCCCAGGCACTGCTGTGGGAATCCTTGGATGCTGGAGATGCCTCTGCACAGTCACCTCTCGCATCACTCAGGAGCATGGTGGTCCGGGGATTCCAGGACAAACCCCTGCACTCTGGGGTGTCCCTACAGCCCTGGCACATGTCCCCAGACCCCATTGGAGGGTGCCATGGGTAGATGCCACCACTGTCACGTGTGGCTATTAGGACAGCTGGGGGGGACCAGGGCAACCTGTCCTCCCGAGGGCCACGTGGGCTGAGGTCTGTGAGCCCCTGGATGCAAGGGGGACATGGACCACCCAACCTGTCCCCTTGGGGACACCTGGGTGCTGTGTGACCCCAGACTCCTGCCCTGGTGTGGGTGCAGATGCTCCTGGGTGCTGGTGCACCAAGCTCATTCTGTTTGGAAAGAGCATGTCCTGTACAGGATCAGAGGGCAAAAATCATCCAACTAATTCAGTAAGTGCAGGTGATTATCTTTAATTAGAGAAAGAGAGAGGTGTGAAGGGGGGGGAGGCTTCCAGGCTCAAGGAGATGCTGAGTTGGTTATCCTGGTTGTGGAGCCTGGGATTGTGGAGCCTCCGGCCGCCTTGGCTCCTGCTGAGCACCTGATCCTCACTCTGGAAAACATCTCTAATTGCAGCAGAAACCTTGAGAGCTGCCGGTGATTGCATCCAAGGGTTCATAAGGCAGGAAGCAAATTCGGGAGAGAGCTGCGATATTGCTTCAAAGAAAACTAAAAAAAAAAAAAAAACAAAAGAGAAAAAGAGCAGAGATGGGAAAAGGTAAAGTCAGCCCGGCAGCTCCACACTCCCTGTTTTTTGTGGAGATAAATAATTGAGCCATGCTGGGGGACCTTCAGCTTTCTGAAAGCACACCCCAGCATGGAGCTGCATGGTGCCAATGGCATTGCTTCCCCTGGATCCCGATGGATCTCCAGGCAAAGGGGCCAGGACGTGCCCCGGGATGGGTTTGCTACTGGTGATGCAGCACATACCTGTGCCCTGGATGGTTCTGGCAATGCCGGTGTGCTGGGGTCCCCAGAGCCACTGCTCAGCCCCACCCGCTGCCACCCCATCCCAGCAAACGGTGTCACCACGCCGTGGTGTCACCCCCTGATCCATCTGAAGGAGCAGGAGGCGCGGGAGGAACCCGCCCCGCTCCAGACAGGCCCATTAACCCAGCGCACGCTGTTATTTCTCTAAGGTGTAATTAAATTTAATTGTCAATTACGCAGTGACAATGTGGAATCGGCACAACCCCCGCCCGCCCCCCGCTCCCCCCGGAGCTGCCAGCGGGTCCCAGCGCCGGGACCCCCCCGTGTCCCCAGTCCCTGATCGCCCAAGAACCGGGAGGCTGCGGCTCTTCACGCTGCTCTGCTTCCTGCTTCCTCACAAGAGCTGAAATCTGACCTTTTTTAATATACAGGGCTGCGATTCCGGAGCCGGGAGCTGCTCTGGGAGGGAAAGGTGGGAGAGTGAGATGGAAGGGGGGGAAGAAGCATTGGAGGCTCCCAGCGGGGTCGGGTGGGCGGCACTGCGGTCCCCACCAAGGGCTGGGGTGAGCCCCTGGCAGGGATGCTCCGGGAACATCGCTGGGATGTAGGAGCCTGTCCCGTTGTCAGAGGGATGAAGGACGGGAGGCAGAGATGGAAAACTGCCTGTCTAGAAATCAATGGAATTGTCACGCGTTGGGAGCGGGGCTGGGCAGGGCGAGCGTGCCTGGAAATCGCTGCCGTGTGCGGCGCCGCCGCGGCCCCGATAATTGCGCTTTTCTTCTCTCCCTTTCTTTCCCTTTCTCCCGCTGCGCTGCAATAATTGGGAGCTGTCGCCCGGCTCATCCGCTCGGCTCCGGGCGGTAGCGCTGCAATTAGCCAGCGGCTCTGTAATGAGGCCTTCACGGCCGCGCGCTCGGGGCTCGCTGCAGTGACTCAGCCCCGCCCCTGTTCCAGTTCCATCCCTGTTCCCATCCCCATCCCAGCCTTGTCCCCATCACCATCCCATCCCCACCTCATCCCATGGGCAATCCATTCCCACTCCCACCTCATCTCGTTTGCATTCCATCTGATTCCCATCCCGTTCCCATCCATGTCCCATCACCTGCCCTGTGCCTATCTCCATCCTATTCTTGTTCCCATCCTCATCCCTATCCCAACCCCTTCCACATCCCATCCCATTCCCATCCCAATCTCATCCCATTCCATCCCATTCCCATCTCCATTCCTATCCTCATCCTCATCCTATCCCCATTCCCATCCCATCCTATCCCACCCCCATTCCCATCCCATCCCTATCCCAGGACATGGTGCACCACCTGGATTGGCTCCCAGCACCGGGCCATGCCCGGCACTGTTGAGGCCATGGGTGCCATGACCTACTTTCCTGAGCAAAACCCTCTCCACCAGCATTCCGGAGTCAGCTCCTGCCTGGGAGCAGGAGTGTCAGGCCGTGGCTCCCAGGGAACTTCCTAACAAATGCTCACAATAACATAATTATGGGAGAAATAATAAATGTGTCAGTCCTGCAGGCAGGAATTTCCAGGGAGTGGGGAGCTGTGCCGCCGTGGCCGCAGGTGCTCACCCTGCGTGGAATTAACCGGGAAAACCCCTCCCCAGCCCCCAGCCTGGGCATTACTGATGAACCTCCTGAGGCAGGGGTGACCTACGGGCTCTCCTGCCTCTCTTTTTCTTTGGATTTCTTCCTTGGAGCTGCCATGGATTGGTGGGATGGGAAGGGAACGGGAAGGCACGGGTTGTGATGTGGTGGGATGGGTTGGGATAGGCTGGGGTGGGATGGTGTTTAGGGCATGGCACCCTCCCTCCCCTCCATCCCACAGGGCACCAGCCCCGGGTCACACCACAGCCCCACAGCCCTGGTGAGCTCTGGCACAGGTGGGCACCAGCTCTGTCCCTCCTTCCAGCAGCTTGAGGGTCCCACTACCGGGAAGAGCAGTTGGATGCCACTTTATAAATTATCATCTCCTGTTCTGGATGGAGTTTAACCTCCCCAGCTTCTGCCCAGGGATTTATTACCGGTCCCATTTCCTGCAGCAATAACTCACCGGGCTCTCTTCCAGAGGGAACTCCTGCCTGCAGACAGGGCTGGGGGCTGTGGACCCCTGCCTGCATCACTGATGGGACTGGGACAGGGGTGGGCACAGGAACAGGGGTGGCTTCGTCCATGAAACCCCCACCCCCGAGGCCCTTGGCTCAGCTGTGCTCCCACACAGACCCAACAGCCGAGGGATTTTCAATCCCCAAAGGATTTTCTTAATTAGGAGACTTCACAACCCGCTATCGCACCCACTCAGCTCTGCTCTTCAAAGGCTCTGCCCACCCCCCCGCCGCAGCACCCGCGGTGGCACCGGCACCACAGCAAGGAGGGGACATGGACCCTCTGCCCAGCCCCTGTGCGAGGATCCAACCCCCTGGGGCTGAGCTGGGATGGGGAGGCCGAAGCTGCTCCTGCCCCTGGAGTTTGTTCCCCTAGCGAGGTGGGTGCTGAGGTGGTGGAGAACTTTGGGGCTGGGTTTATGATCCCCCTGAGAGGGGGATGCGCCGTCGCCTTCCGTCCCCCTGCTCTGTCCCTCCTGTCCCAAGTGGGGACATTCCTGCCTGGTGGCCTCATGACAACACCCTCCCTGGCACCTCCAAATGGGTTTGGTTTGATCCCAGGGCTGTCCATGGGATCGGGAGTGGACATATTGGCCATACCTGTGCCAAAACTGTGCCATACATGCTGTACCCACCCTACCTGCACCGTACCCACTGTACCTGCTCCATCCCTGCAGGATCCACGCTGTACCCACTATCCCTCTTCCATACCTGCCATACCTGTGCCATACCCACGATACCTGTGCCATATCCACCATGCCTGTGCCATACCCACCATGCCTGTGCTGTACTCATGCCACACCCATCATACCTGTGCTGTACCTGTGCCACAGCTGCCGTACCCGCTCTGTACCCTCCACACCTGTGCCGTACCCGTCTCACCTGTGCCGTACCTGCTCTCCCTCCTGCAGCAGCCTCACGTAGGCGTGGGCGTGTTCCCCGCAGCGAGGGACTGATCCCCGCTGCTCCGTTTGTGAGATGGTGTAATCCCACAGAGCCGTCTCCGTAATATCCCAAACTAAGTCACTCATTCTTGCCAAAAATCCAATAAAGAGCTCAGGCCTCCTCCATAGGCAGATAAAGCTCAGATTAACGGGGCTGCCGAGATAAAAAAAAAAAAAAAAAAAAAAAAAAGAGAGAAAAAGGAGGAAACGCTGGGAAAATGAGCACGGGATGGAGAGGAGACTCCTGCCACCTTCTCCTTTCCCAAGGCTGCTGCAGCTCAGGGTTTTATTACAAAAAGCCACCTAAGTATTACAGACTAATCCCTAAATCCCAGCCTAGTAAAATATGGAATGGATTTTGTAAATTGTGCCCTTTACAAAGCTGATTGAACTTTTTTTCCTCCCTTTTCTTCTCCTTCCCCCTCCTTTCCCAGGGGATCTTTTCTCTCCTTGGAGACCACGATGTCTTTTGGTGTCCATGTCCCGTCCCTGCTCCTTCTCCAGCTGGACCCTCCTGGTCCCAGTTTGGAGCTGCTCAATGGTGGGAGTGACATGGTGGTGAGCCTGGATCATGGTGGGGATAATCCAATGGGATGAGATAGGATAGAGAACTGGATGAGGTGGGGATAGGATGGGTAAGGAGATGCTGTAAGGGACGGGGAAGGGAAAAGGGAAGGGGATGGGGAGGAGGAAAGGAATGGAAAAGTGGATGGGGATAGGGAAGGGGATGGGAATGGGGTGAGAATGGGAAAGGGCAAAGGAGTGAGGATGCAGAGCGTTCCAATGGTCCTGTGGCTGGAGCTGGTCATCTGTGTCACGTCCTCCTGGCAGCTGGCTGCACAGGGTTGGGAATGCGGCTGTGGGAAACCCCCTTCTCCTCAACTCGGCCTGATTTTAGGGCTTTCTGCCCTCCCTGGAGTTGCCTGAGGCGTTTTGGGGCCAGTGGTGGACACAGTGCTCTGGGTCCCCTTGGGAATGGGTGTCACTGAGGCAGGAGCACCCACCTTCCCCTTGCTGTATCAGGACCACCCTGAGCCAGCAGGGCTGGAGGCAGGATCTGGGGGAGGCTGCTGGGGTCAGACAGGGACTGTGTTGTCCTTGGCTCCTCCTTGGAGGCTGCAGAGGGGCTGGGCTGCCTGGCCAGGCTCTAAATCCGGGTGTCAGCTATGGAGGGTTGGTCTGTCCCCTCTGCATGGTCGGGGTCTGCAGAGTGTCACCAGCCTGCACGGTGCCTGTCCAAGCACCCCTGGGCTCCTCGGGATGCTGGGATGCTCCTTGGGGCTGGAAGGGGCTGTCGAACCTGGAACTGGGATTTCACACCCCCATCCCTCCGGGATGAGCAGCACAGCCCAACGCCGAGGACCCTGTTTGTGCGCAGGAGGGGGATAAACTTGGGCACGACTTTCCTTCCTCCAGCATGATTTCCTGTTTTTTTACATTAGAGCAAGATGTTGCTGGCAAAATGTTCTCCCTTCCCTGTTTTTCCATCAAATTATTCTGCAGAGGAACATCTGGCAGCAGCTCACAAACGGGCTATTCCCGCCTGTCACGGTGGCGATGCCGATTCCCAGCACCGGCCAGGGGCAGCTGGAAAATGCCACCTGCCACCACGGTGCCTGTCATCCTGTGCCGCCAGGCAACACAGGGGACAGCGAGGACGGGCACCCAGCAGCATCATGCCTGGCGTAGCAAACCAGGAACTGGGGAGAGGAGAAACAGCTGCCACGTCTTTCCTTTGACTTCGTTCCACCCTGAGCTGCTGTTTCCTTTGGTCTGAGGGTAATGCTGAGGCTGACAGAGACCTGGGATCAGATCCCAGCTCTGAGCCGGGCTCCCAGCCCTCAGCAGCTGGAGCCACGTCCGGATCCCTGCGTGGGCTCAGATCCTGAGCAGCACTGGCGTTTGGGGGGTGATGTGCATCAAAGCCCCCCAGCCCGGCCCAGGCTGAGCTCTCGCTGGTTCTTGCTGCAGGACAGCAGTGGCAGGGCCATGCCTCAGTTTCCCCAACACCAAACAGCACTAGTGGGAGCCATCCAGCCCTTCCTTCCCTCCTGCAACCCATCCTGGCGATGCAACACGGGCGTTACTGCTTGGAGCCGGTGCTGGAGGATGTTAGGTGGTAACCATGGTAACGACCAGGTTTCTCTTTCCTTGCCCTTGCCAGTCACCTTGAGATGCCACCTCATCCTGGTCACCAGCCGGGCACGTCATGTCCCCTCACGCAGCTCCCACCGTCAGTCCCTGAGCTGTCCTGGTGCACGTGGCAGCAGGATACAGTGCTGGTGATCCCCACCACAGTCCAGGGGCTGGATCCAGGCTTCCAGCACCACCCAGGGATCCCCTCACCACAGGGATTGATGGAGGAGGGACCCCCACACGTCCCCACTGCCGTGTCCCCAGTTCTGGCATTGTCCCTTCCTCCCATGCACCGGCCGCGCGCCGGCAAAGGGATGCCCTTTGAGGCTCTCACAAGCACATCTGCCGCGTGCTTATTCCCCCGATCAGCAGGCCCCGGCCTGCCGAATATCTCT